TATATATATATATATATATACATACATATATATACATATAAAGCGCAAATCACAACATCTGATCAATGCATGTAAATGATATAAAATAACAATAATGATATTAAAATAAAAAGAAAAAACTAATGAAAAAATCTCGAGGGAAAACACGTTGAACGAATAAATAATGATAATAATATTCCAAAGGATAAGAGACAATGCGTTTTTATTTTCGGAACGGTGCTATCTAGTAATAGGAATACGATATAAGCATGCACAAATAAAATATAAGTGGTGTTTGGGAGTCTATATAGTTATTATACATTATTTAACACATATACATACACATAATAAGTAATTTTATTGACAAACTTACATGTACAAACTGTATCCATGTGCATACACCCAATTAGAGTAGGTCCAAAGACCTTCTGGTTCGAAGTCTCTAGTGCCACTGCCCACTTCGTCGATTCTTCAGTCGATTTCCTATGAAATCGATGGAACTTAAATGTCAGCTCGCTGATCCTGTCGACTGTAAATGGCGGCGCGATGTATCAGAATCAACGGACGAATACTGACAAAAACCAGTAGAGAGATCAAGTCGACAACTTGTCCAGAAAAAATTAATTAAGTTCAGAGCTTTACCGAATCTCTTAATGCAGTTCCGACGATTTGTCTTGGACACGGGGTAGTGAAGTACAGACAAAAGTTTTGTGCGAAAATACATCAGCATTATTTGACAGACAACTGATGCACTAAGAGAGATCTTCGCTAAATATCTATTTACCTAAGTGTCAAGAAAAAGCCATTGCGTTGCCAGGCAGGTGGATTTAGGTGTTGGATGAACCCAAAAAACAGGGACGAGGTGAAGATATGATATGGCGATACATGATTTCAACTAGTTAAAGTAGATCGACACTCGGTTCGAACGACTCATCTGTATTATTATTATTATTATTCCTGATATTGAAATTCGGTTAGGCGTAATTCAGCAATGTTTTCTCTTTAAAAACATGAATTGGTGTTTCTATCATAATTTATTATCACACAAAGGGTAGCCATTACCAAGCAAATGGTCAAAGCGATGATGATACTCAAGTACGACTCATTATTTGTTCTGCGCAATTATAGCTGGCATTTCGTAATGTAAACACTTTGAAAATTGAATAAAAACTATGGCTTCCATACAAAGTAGCTTAAATCTAGGACCAGTTCGTAAGCACAAAACTTCAGTTTTTTTACAAACGACGGATTTTGACAAAAATGGTTATGGCGGCATATAATTACTTTAAGAATGTGGCTGTTCGAGGCGTCTCCCCTCTTCTTGGGTCTAGATTATGCAAAGCCTAGACGGCG